AGCACCTTACAAGAGATTCTGGAGGCGGATGAGATTTTCCTGAAGTCACTAATAAAAAGGCTGCATTGTTAATAACAGAGGTGCTGCCATTGGACTAAATTTCCACTGCTGTCATTAGAAAAATATTAATTGAGCACTGCTTTGTGTAAGTCATATTCATAGCAACAACACTTATTTGATGGTCAATTTCAACTAATGTACCTGATTCCTAAAGGGGAGATAAATCCCAATATCCTCCCCAATTTGTTTAAATATCAGTGGAAACTTGTTTGTAATATGTTTTGAGAAACACTGAATTTTGTAATTTTTATTTTCATTGTTTAGAAAATAACATAGAAGCAGTATTGTCTTCTGTTTGATTTTTGAATGTTAAGAGTAAACCCAGTTTATGTGTGAAGCAGCCAGAAAAGGATGAAAATCTTGCCAGGATTTGATCGTGGTGCAGGATTAAGTATTTATAAAACTATGTGTTGCTTGGCAGTGTTGAGGCTGTCTTTCCTTCAGATGAGACAGAAGTGCAATTGCACTGCTGTACGTGAAGGACATAAACAGAGATATTACATGCCTTGGGAAAGGGAAGTGTCTCATGAATATTAGGAAAACATTCACTAGGGAAATCTGAGAAGTGGTAAGATTGATTGTTTAAGGTTGCCTTATAGCTGTTATTATTTCTGTAAAACTTGAGTGTGAGTTTCTGTCTAAATTGATGCATGTTTTTGTGTGGCTAGTGAATATTATCTGTTTTCTTCCTTCCTTTCCTTTTCCTCTCTTCTTCTCTTCTCCTCTTCTCCTCCTTCTCCTATTCTCTTTCCTCGCCTTCTCCTTCTCCCTCTCCCTCTACCACTCCCCTCTCCACCCCTCTCCCCTTCCCTGCCCTTCCCTCTTCTCCCTTCTCTTCTTTCCTTTCTTTGTTAGAGACAGGATCTCCTCTCCTCTCCTCTTTTCTTTCTTCTCTTCTTTTCTTTCTTTTTTAGAGACAGGGTCTTTCTGTGTTGCTCAGGCTATATGTAGTGGCTATTCACATCATAGTGCACTACAACCTCGAACTCCTAGGCTCAAGTGAACCACCTGATTCAGCCTCCTGAATAACTGAGGCTGCAACTGCATCCAGCAAATGGTCTGTTTTCCAACAAGTTTTTGAGTATCTTTAGGCGTCAGAGAATTTTCACCAGCAGATTATATTATCTACTATTTACTTTCCTTCCATTATATGAAGCAAGCCAGATTATCTATGTATGTGTCTATGTGTCTATATGTGTATCTATCTGTCTCTCTATCCATCCATCCATCCAATTTCTTTTTACCACTTCCTTCCTATTTTCATTCATTTAAAGTAAGCCTTCTGGTGACTATCATTATAACTTTAAATGTGATCCTTTTAGTTCTGCTTCTTGATTTAATAGCTTTAAACCATATCCATATGCTCCACACTGTGAAAAATAAATTAACATATTTCCTTCATTTTTACCTCTTTCTCTACTTTATATTCCAATTTTTACTTGATGTGTTATTGCTTTTTCATTGTTATGATTTGTGATATTTGTATTTTGTTTGTAAATATAATCTTCTCCTATAGTTTGATAAACATTAAAAATCAATTATCAGGCTGGGTGTGGTGGCTTACGCCTGTAATCCCAGCACCTTGGGAAGCTAAGGTGGGCAGATCACCAGCTCAGGAGTTTGACACCAGCCTGGCCAACATGATGAAACCCTTTGTCTACTAAGAATTCAAAAATCAGCCAGCTGTGGTGGCACACACCTGTAATTCTTGCTATAGAGGAGGCTAAGGCAGGAGAATCACTTGAACCCGTGAGGCAGAGGTTGCAGTGAGCCAAGATTGTGCCACTGTACTCCAGCCTGGGTGACAGAGCAAGACTCTGTCTCAAAAAAAAGTCAATTATCGGAGCATATAGATTATGATGTATAATATTTTCCATGGTATAACCATTTAGGACAAAAACGTAGCACTATGATATTAATACTTTTCCAAGTAGAGGAGAATTTCCCAGCCATGGAAATAGCTCATGGATCTTCCTTCATTTGTTTCTAATTTTATTTTCTTCTTCAGATTCATACTTAGTTGCTATAGTTTCTCATATCCATGTGGACATTAAAACAAGTTATTTGCTTTTTTTTTTTTTTTTTTTTTTT